TTTGTGAGAAGCTTCGTACAACTTCAACCATATGGCCTCTAACTCCGAAGCGATCATTTCCATGCTCGGGATCTTCAAAGATTTAGCTGCTTTCATCTGGATGATGATGGGAATGAGGAACATGTCATTCATAACAGCTGTTTCTTGACTCACCGCCACAGTCCTATCTCCCGAAGCCGGTGTCACCAAGGCAGTGGGTGCCTCCATCGACATTCGGTCCCGAATCTCGTGATTGCAAAACCAAGCGGAGCCCAAGCCAGTCAAAACGACTGCTTCGATATCCAGCGCCATGGCGCTTGTTTGATCTTGAAAAACTGAAGTAGAAATCGCACAACCGATCGAAAGTAAGAATACCTGCAACACTGACGACCAATGAAGCTGAAGGCAGAACCCTGGCATCATGAGCAGGGCGAGGGTGGGCGCACCTTTTCCGGGCCACCATGGCCACAGGCACAGGAACGCCATTGCTGCCCGTAGCATTGCATTGTTGTTTGCTGCACATGTGACATATTCTTGTCTTGCAGTGTCCCGCTCCCAGACCGGGCGATTTCTTCATAGTAAATTAAGTTTTAAACCCCTACGGCGATGCATAAAACTTCTAAGCCAGGATACCCCCTACTTGATAAACACCTGTATAAAAGCCTAGCCCCAAAACCCGAACAACATAGGCTACATTGCAGACATATTTATATACACATGTAAACCCTAAAGAAGCCCTGCCGCGAGCCACGGCGAGCGAGAGGCAGCGGCCTGGTCACAGGTTTTAAGGTCGGCCGGGTTCCGAAGGGTGGGGTTTAGGCTAGTATATAAACATATTTATGCATGCATGCATGCATACGTACTTGGTGAGAAAGGGCCAAAACAAGTAGGCTCATATTGTGCACACACGCACACAGACAGCATGATAAAGATGTGTCGTTCTACACATGTAGGATCTGATAATTTCGAATGGAATGTGTACTGGAGCCTTCTTAATACGACTCAGAACCTCAAGTACTATAGTCCCCAACCAGCTTCACCTAAAATGTGTCCGCTCTAGCTGCCCCCGAAAAACATTTAATAAACCAAAATACGCCCTTTTATCATGGAAATCCAGAATTTTCCGAAAGGCTGGAAAAATCCAGCCGCTAGGATCTTCAGGTAAACTCTAAACCCTAAACCCTAATCTCTAAACCCTAAACTCTAAACCCTAAACCCTAATCTCTAAACCCTAAACTCTAAACCCTAAACCCTAAACCCTAATGTCTATAAACCCTAAACCCATACCCAGAACGAGGCCTAAGATGCCAAACCCCAAAACCCGAACCCCAGGCTTTGGCGTCCGAAGCCGACCTGATACTTACTTAGTCCCTACAAGGTTCCATGTGGGGGGTTCCGAAAATTAGGGGATACCTTTGAAGGGATCCTAGGGTTCCTTAAAGGGATCTATAAGGATTCTATGAAGGGTCTAGGGTTTAGGGTTTGGGAGTTTCCGAAAATTAGGGGTACCTTATTTTGGGGTCCTTATAATAAGGATTCTATGATGTAGGGTACTAGATTAAAGTCCCCTATTTTCGGAAACTCCCATGTTACTCCCAGTTGGGAAAGTCGTTGCGTTTCGTTCGTGGCAGCGCCAAGCCTTCGGGGGAAGCTTTGTTGCGGGGTCGTTGCGTTTCGGTGTGCACATGGGGGAAAGGCTTTCAAGATGATGATCTGCGGTGTTTGTTTGCTGCAGGGTCCATGAGCGGCTGCTTGCAAAATCGAGTGTCTGCATGGGGAATGGCTGCTTTTGATGTGCTGTTTGCTGTGATGCCCCTGATGTGTTTCTGGAGCGGCTGCTTGCAAAATCGAGTGTCTACATGGGGAAAGGTGCTTTTGACGTGCTGTTTGTTGTGATGCCGCTGATGTGTTTCTTGAGCGGCTGCTTGTAAAATCGAGCGTCTACATGGGGAATGAGTGCTTTTGATGTGCTGTTTGCTGTGATGCCGCTGATGTGTTTCTTGAGCTGCTGCTTGCAAAATCGAGCGTCTCCATGGGGAATGAGTGCTTTTGATGTGCTGTTTGCTGTGATGCCACTGATGTGTTTCTTGAGCGGCTGCTTGCAAAATCGAGCGTCTACATCGGGAATGGCTGGTTTTGATGTGCTGTTGGCTGTGATGCCGCTGATGTGCTTCTTGAGCGGCTGGCTTCAAATCACACCGGAGGGTATCGTTCACCCCCATTTATTGATGTACGACCGGGTATCGTTCAACCCATGCATAAAAATGTGAAAACCCGGCCTGGAGTGACAGCGCAGGCGTTGCAACTGCAGGCAGGCAAAGCGGAGCCGTTTTAGGTTTGCGGCGCAGGGCTTCTTCTTTACGTGCAGTTGCAGAAGGCTGCAAAACCGAACCGCAGCACGCAGGTCTAAGCGCATGCATCTCAGGGTTCGTTCTTCACCTGTCCCCGGAGGTGTGCAGTTGCAGAAGGCTGCAAAAACGAACCGCAGCACGCAGGTTTAAGCGCATGCATCTCAGGGTCCGTTCTTCACCTGTCCCCGGGGGTGTGCAGTTGCAGAAGGCTGCAAAAACGAACCGCAACACGCAGGTATATATAAGTGCATGCATGTCGGGGTCCGTTCTTCACCTGTCCCCGGAGGTGTGCAGTTGCAGAAGGCTGCAAAAACGAACCGCAACACGCAGGTATAGCTGCATGCATCTCGGGGTTCGTTCTTCACCTGTCCCCGGAGGTGTGCAGTTGCAGAAGGCTGCAAAACCGAACCGCAGCACGCGGGTCTAAGCGCATGCATCTCAGGGTTCGTTCTTCACCTGTCCCCGGAGGTGTGCACTTGCAGAAGGCTGCAAAAACGAACCGCAGCACGCAGGTCTAAGCGCATGCATCTCAGGGTCCGTTCTTCACCTGTCCCCGGAGGTGTGCACTTGCAGAAGGCTGCAAAAACGATCCGCAACACGCAGGTCTAACTGCATGCATGTCGGGGTCCGTTCTTCACCTGTCCCCGGAGGTGTGCAGTTGCAGAAGGCTGCAAAAACGAACCGCAACACGCAGGTATAAGTGCATGCATGTCGGGGTCCGTTCTTCACCTGTCCCCGGAGGTGTGCAGTTGCAGAAGGCTGCAAAAACGAACCGCACACGCAGGTATAACTGCATGCATGTCGGGGTCCGTTCTTCACCTGTCCCCGGAGGTGTGCAGTTGCAGAAGGCTGCAAAAACGAACCGCAGCACGCAGGTCTAAGCGCATGAATGTCGGGGTCCGTTCTTCACCTGTCCCGGAGGTGTGCAGTTGCAGAAGGTTACAAAAAACGAACCGCAGCACGCAGGTCTAAGCGCATGCATCTCAGGGTCCGTTCTTCACCTGTCCCCGGAGGTGTGCACTTGCAGAAGGCTTCAAAAGCGATCCGCAACACGCAGGTCTAAGTGCATGCATCTCAGGGTCCGTTCTGCACCTGTCCCCGGAGGTGTGCACTTGCAGAAGGCTGCAAATAACATGCATCTCGGGGTCCGTTCGGCACCTGTCCCCGGAGGTGTGCACTTGCAGGAGGCTGCAAAAACGAGCCGCAGCACGCAGGTATAAGTGCATGCATCTCAGGGTCCGTTCTTCACCTGACCCCGGAGGTGTGCACTTGCAGAAGGCTGCAAAAACAATCCGCAACACGCAGGTATAAGTGCATGCATGTCGGGGTCCGTTCTTCAAATGTCCCCGGAGGTGTGCAGTTGCAGAAAGCTGCAAAAGCGAACCGCAGCACGCGTGCTTTCACACGAGTTGTTCACTCTTGGGGGACGGTGTGCACGGGGTGTGCTCTTGCGGGAACGGCAAATGCAAGGACTTTGCAGCGACCCCAGTCGTTGCGTGTGTGCAGATGGGGGAAGCATCAAAAACGCGAAATGCAACGACAAAAACGCGTAGGAGTACTATAGAGTAAGGCCCAAGTATATACTATATATATATATATATATGGTACATGGAGCTTTAGGATCTTAAGTGCGGGCAGTAGGTTATGCGGGGGCTTTGAGGGCTTGCTCAGAGCGTAAAACATAGGGTCCGGAGTTTATGGTCCATAGTCCAGGGTTTAGGGTTACAGTAAACTCCATAAAGTTGGAAACCGGATTACGGCCAAATAGTGCCGGGATTCCTTGTACAGTACTCTTAAGGATTGAGGCTATTGGGTTTCCAACTTTTGGGCTTATACTGTAATGCTTTAGGGCTCAGCTCAGGTGTTTAGGCATCAGGGCTTCTCGGGTTTGGGGCTCAGGGTTTCGAGCGCAGGGGTCGGCCAACGATTTTCTGCCTGGTGCTGGCGCAAGGGTATTATTGCGTGTACCTCCCCCCCCCAAGGTAGGTAAAAGAATGGCCCAATACGTATAAAAGGCCATTATTCTACATACTGTTGGGGTCCAGGTTGTGCTGGCGCAAGGGTATTATTGCGTGCAGTTTGAGGTATATACATTGAATGGGTTTGGTTTCGAGCTTTGACCCTGAACCCCCCCAAAGCCTAAAGCCCAAGGAATAACAATACTGCTGATGGACAAAATCCTGCATGGGCCTAAGGACTCTAAACTTTTTGGGAATTATGGTATATTCCTTATAATGGGTAATGCGGGATTTATTTTGTCCATCAACAGTATGGGTACATGGACCCTGAGGATGTGTTGAGGCACATTTGGGGGTGTTGTAGCTCGCAAGTGAGCAGTGCTTCATACTTCCAAGATATTGCAACAGGGTAGGCTTGGGTAGGTCTCACTGTGGGGTGCGAAAAGGCAGCGGACAAAGCCGAAGCAAGCCTAAACCCTGAACCCTACCCCCCAAATCCTTAAACCGTTTCCCGCTCTACCCTAAACCCGTAAACCTCTAGACCCCTAAACCCTTAACCGTTTCCCCCTAAACCCCTAAACCCCTAAAACCCAAAACCCTAAACCCTAAACCCCTAAACCCCTAAACCCCTAAACCCCTAAACCCCAAAACCCTGACCCAAAACCCGAAGTAGGGCCCTGGGTGCTCGAGGGCCCCTGATTTGAGTCCCGAGGAAGTGGCCAAAGAAGTGCCCATCGTCGTCCTTCAAAGAGCCTGCGTGACTTCGCCAAGCAGTAGTAACGACAATCGTAATCATGATAACAATAATTAATCATGATGATATTAGTATTCATATTCTTTATTATTGGTGAGTTTGGGATTTAAGGGTGGGCTTCATTGTGGAGATACAGCCTGTGTGACTTGTGCAATTGCGCAAACTGATTGGCAATCCAGGTTTCATGGATGTCGGGTTTCCAGCATTTGCGCGGTGTCTGCACACATCTCCGGCAAATAAGACTCCTAAGTACCTGCCTATCTAAAAGGCCACAGCGATGATAAACTGCAGTGACCACGTTGCCTTAATTTGCGTTCGGCGCAGTACTTGTGTACATGATGTGGGGCTTATATCACGATGCTGCTGGGTTTTGCATCATGGGTTTCGCTGTCGTCCTACTTCCATGCAGGCTGTCAGATGAGGAATTGCAGGAAAATCGCAGCTCCGAAACACCATGCCGCAAACCCTAAGCCCGAAGCCATAAGCCTCAGGTGTGTCTACGGAGACTCAGAGCAACTCGGCTGAACGTTCGTAGAGGGTGACTGAGGTCTTTAGGGAACTGGGCTCCTAGGGTTTCATACAAGGCATGTTTCAGGACTTTTATTTGGCAGTTCCGAGACACATCAGTTGAAGACAGAACAGCCAGCCAGTAAACTTAGGGTTCGAGGTTTACGGGGCATGATGGCGCGCCCCTGCAAGCCTGTTGAGCATGCACCACTGCCAGATGCTACGACCTGGTGTGGCAAGTCACTATGGTGCGAGCCAACAGTGCTTTGCCTCAAGTGCTATGGTGTTGATGTTTGCTTTCCAGGAAACCCTAAACCCCTAGACCAGGAGGAGCAACAGCTCCAGCGAAATCCTTCTTTGCTCTTTGAAGGGGTTGGAAGTCATTCGAAGGCTTGGACTATTAAGGGTCGATTAATTAAATATCTACCTATTGCTATCTTTGGTGGGGACCCTTATCATCATAATTGCGGTATACTATATTATAAACCCTATGTCAGAGTCTTAGAAACCGCAAGTCGGGAATATCTTGGACCGTGGTAATCCTGTCCTACAGTTTGAGGTTAGGCTGAGCCCGAAATAGCGCTGGTGTGCTTCTAGGTAATCCGACCTTCAACCCGGAAGACTTCCGGGTACATTGTATCATTTGTACAGATGCAGTTACGTATCACAGTATATGAACATATGGGTTTTGAGGTCCACAAGTTCAGCCATTCAGAGAGTTTGTTAAAGTCTCAAATGTCAGAGTCTGGTGCTTTTGGGGCCGATGCTTCGCGGTTTGGGGCTTCTGCGTTTGAGGTCTTGGATTGGGCTTCAGGGCCCACCTGGATACGCCAAGCCCCGAAGCCAAAGGCTGCATGTACCCTTATAGTAGATACTTAAGCCTTAAAGGGGTCCCTATATAGGTACTTGAAGGCCTATAAGTATATACTATATGGGTATATGGAGCCTTGTACCCTAAACTCTACAGAACCCTTCTAGAACCCTTTAAAGGACCCCTTAAAGGACCCTTGCAGGAACCCCTATTATCGGTACATGGAGCCTTAGGCACTGCAGAGTGGGAAGCTGCCGGGATCCGGGCGCTGCAAGAAGGCCAGGTCTTTGGGGGTTTCAGGGTTCCCAGAGCCTCCAAAACCCCTTAATTACGGAAAATACCTTAAATAATAATAGGATCCCTTATATGATTTAAAGTATATTCCTTAATTAAGGACTTTTGGGGTTTCGGGGTGGAGGGTGCTAAACCCTAAGGGTCCATGTACCCATATAGCTTATACTTTGGGGCCAATGTACCTATATAGGGAGTACTTTAAGGCCAATGTATATACTATGTGAGTACATGGACCCTTAGGGAAAGGGCTCGGTTTCGGACCATTTATGAGCCCAGACAGCATAAAGCCCACAATGCTTGTCTAAATGCCAAATCCGGCATCCAAACCCTGCAGAAGCCTGTAAACTCGACGAGCCACGAAGGTGCTAAGCGCCAGCGCACAATCGCGGTGCAGGTCCATGGACCACCTAGAAACGGTTTGGGGTTTAGGGCTTGCAAAAGTCCTTCTTCTGGTGTTTCGGACGACTGGCGGCTGTGCTAAGCGAATCGCATCACGAAGAAGTTGTTTGCTTCATTGCTTGCTCGCTCGCTGGCTGCCCAGCTGGCTAGCTTGCTTGCTTGCTTGGATCAGGGAATGATTTGAATCAATGAATGCGTGAAAGCGAACGGATGGATCGATGGAGATGGATGGATGGGTGGATGGAGGGAGGGATGGAGGGAGGGAGGGAGGAAGGGATGGGTTGATTGATTGACTGGCTGATTCACTGATTGAGTGAGCGACTTGTGGGCAGAGCGCCCCTTGCAGCATTCTCTTCGGGTGCTTAACCAAAACTGCCTCTAAACCTTAAACCCCCAAGCCACAAAGCAAAAATCAACATTTTTCGACACATGCCCAGCCCCGAGCCAAACCCACACCCTCAAGCCTGAACCCCACATCCCAAAACTTTCATATCAGGGACCCCAAAGCCACATGAGCATAAGCATTTTACAGGGATATCCCTACCTTACTGGGCTTCATTATAAGGGGGTTTAATATTGGATATCACTATCCTACATGTTGCTTATGTGCGTTTTTCTGGGGGGGGGGGGGGGCCCTCAATAACCCTGATGGGATCCCCTCCTGTGACCCGTTACCGTAGCCCGAAAGCCTCTATATAACAGTATATAATAGCTATATTAAGGGTATATACCTAGGGGTCCTTATTAAGGGCCCCTCCTTTTACCCTTGGAAGAAAGTTCCACTGCGAGGCTTCGGCGGCAACGCCTTCGGCTCCTGCAACTGGTCGCTCTTTACCCATAGGGTCACACCCTACCCCTTTTTTCCTTCTCTATATAAGAGAACCTAACCATAAAACTAGGTACCCTAAAAAAAGGGGTAGGGTATGACCCTCTAGGTAGTGTTGAGGGATTCGGGTGGTAGGGTTTTTCGGCTTTGTGTGTTGGGGGTAGGGTTTGTGTGTTTGGGGTTCGGCTTCTAGGGTTTAGGGCGGATACTGAGGACCTCTGGCTGTCTTTTGGGGTGTAGGGCTTTGGGTTTAGGGTTTAAAGCTCAGGGTTTAGAGTTCAACAGTTCAGGGTTTCGGGTTTAGACTTTCGGGTTTAGAGTTTTGAGTTCAGGGAAGGCGGAGCATGATATACCCGAAACCTCGTTGTGCATCCGCCCAGCATGGAATCAGCGAGTTTCCGTCTTTGTCTATAGCAGCCTTCGAAGTGTAGGACTCGGATTAGGGTCCCTGTTCACCTCCCCAAACAGCACGGCAGCCTTGTCAACAGGACCGTGAAAAGGATCTTAGCCATAGGCCCCAAAGTAGTTCCTTTTTGGGATTACCTTATAGACTTCTATATATGAACTCCAACAAGGAACTACTTAAAGGCCTTTGGGTAGCCTTAATTTAGAGAACTGCACATATACTTTGGCCTTACGTAGTCAGTACGAACTATTGGGGCACATGGACCCTTAGGGTGGTACAAACGGTCCCAAACGGTTGATGATCTAAATTCTGCATTCCTCATAATAAGGAATATGCCATAATTCCCATAGTTTAGGGTCATTAAGGTAAGGCAGGATTTACATCATCCACCGAAGCACTCGAGGGCTGGAGACTCCTTAGACGTCCAAGACGAGTGCAGGCCATTGCTTGAGTTAAAGATTGCGAGGGACCCTTAATAAGGACCCCTAGGTATATACCCTTAATATAGCTATTATATACATATTATATAGCCCATTATAGGTTCGAGGCCGTCTTAAGCAACAGCTATTTCTATATTAGCGCTAGGGCTCCGAGGACTCACATAGTAAGGCTTTTGGGCTCAACGACCATAATATATAGGGTTTTGGGGCTATTTTGATGCCCAGGGTAGGGTTTAGGGTGTAGGGGCTCGCTATTTTCTGAGAGCTGCATCTGTTGATTCTGACGCACGTACCCACCCGGTCGATGGCACACCGGTTCGTCTTCGTTCCCAGCAAGCATGGTCAAGCTTTACCGGGAAAGCCTAAATGACCTAGATTCCAGAACATATCACCCTATATCCTAAATCTTGGAACCCCGCATAAACTCACTGAGAGAACAGGGTTGAACGGCTTGGAGGTTTGCGGCGCACGGCAGAAGTAATTGATTTGGCGACCTGCAAGTTACCTGCCGAAGCCCTACGAACCCCTAAACCCGGCACCCTAAACCCTTAAACCCGAAAGCCTGAAGTCTTAAACACTTTAGCCCTAAACCCCCCAACCCCTAAATCCCAGACCCCTAAGCCCTGAACCCCAAGCAGTTTTGTTTTGCAGAGCCGTTCAGGGCTTCGAGCTAGTCGCTGGTCTCGTTCTGCTCTGCAGTCTGGTAGTCCAATAGGGTTTAGGGTTTAGGGGTTCAGGGTTTGGGGTTTAGGGTCTAATGCTTCCGGTGACAGTCTTAGACCAAAGTTGCAACCTAAACCGTGAATCCGGGAGAAAAACTTGTAAATCCTGATCCTGAACCTTATTACCCAAAGGCCCCAAAGTAGGGGTTCATATATAAAATCCTATAAGGTAATCCCCAAAAGGAACTACTTTGGGGCCTCTGGGTATTTGTAGGACAGTCTCATCTCTAGCCCTGATTCGCTGAAGCCCTAAAGACGCTAAGGCAATGAAGGGCTAGCCCCTTCCGGACCGGCCATGCTGCTGGCCTGATGTCACAGGCCTCCAGGACTCTCCCCGGGCTTTGATAACTTTCGGCGTAGGATTTACGGCTTCGAAGGTTCAAGCAATTTAGGGTATAGGGTTAAAGTAGGCTTTAGGGCTAAGGGTTTAGGGATGTGTCGTGACATTCCTTCCCTCTGGCAGTGGAGTGTTCTGTTTTGTTGGTTGTGGTTTAGGGGACAGATTCGGCGTCCAGAGTCTCTCATGGGACCCACAGCAACTGGCCAACAGTACTCCTTCATAGCGGGGGTGGCGCCCCATAAGAACGAACCCTAAGGGTCCATGTACCCAAATAGTATATACTTTGGCCGTGGGTCTTATACTAGGACCCGTTGGATTTCTGAGGTCTGGGTAACTCCAGGATTACCCAAACAAGCCACATGTTTTAAGTCGGCGGGGTTAAATTTTTAAAAAAAAACAAGACTTTTTGCTTACACCCACACCTCCGACTAACTGCCGCCCCCCGCCCCGGATTTAGGAATGCATAGCAGCATGGAAAGGCAGGCCGAGGTCTGATCCTGTTGTTTAAAAATGCATCTCCCAAAGGCTCCATGTACCCTTAGGGTTTAGGGTTTAGGGGTTTAGGGTTTAGGGTTTAGGGGTTTGGGGTTTAGGGTTTAGGGTTTAGGGGTTTAGGGTTTAGGGTTTAGTAGATACTTAAGCCTTAAAGGGGGTCCCTATATAGGTACTTTAAGGCCTAAGTATATACTATTAGGGTACATGGAGCCTTAGGGTCTTAGCAGGTCTGCAGGCCACTCCACGTGCACGGTCCGATTTCCTAGTCAGCAGCGACTGGAGCCATGAAGCAATTCGCACAAAGTGGAACGTTGCCACACAGGTCTCCGTAAGATACTAACGAATTGCTACCAAGCCACATCCAGACATAAAACGTAAGCCATCGTTCATCTTGTTTATTCAGCGGTTTTCGAATCTTGTAGCAGGCAACAAGAGCACGATGAACTGCACCGTTCGGGAGTGCACCATGGTTGAATCTCGAAAAAGCAAATACCTGGACCCCCAAAGTATGTAGAATAATAGCCCTTTATGGGTATTGGGCCATTATTTTACCTACTTTGGTAGGTTTAGGTACACTAAACAAACTTAATTCTCCCACCCTATAAACCTGTCTGCTTGAGTCACGAACCTGTTACCGGCATAAGACACCCTACAGGGCGAAGGCGCGACAGAGTCGCAATCCGGTGCCCTGACTAAACACGTCTAGCATCCGAAGTTCCCAACTAGACACCAGAGGCCCGAAAACCCAAAACCAACACACATGGGAGTTTCCGAAAATGGGGGGGACCCTATTGTAGTTCCCTACATAGTAGGATCCTTATTATAGGGACCCCCAAAGTATGGTACCCCTCATTTTTGGCAACTCCGACATCTCTGTCGACTTTGCCCAACCCAAACCCTGAACCCTAAACCCTAAACCCTATAAACCTTTATCCCTAAACCCTAAACCCTAAACCCTAAACCCTAACAAACCCTGAACCCTAAACCCTAAACCCTATAAACCTTATAAAAAACCCTAAACCCTCGACTTTGCATGTCCAGCTTCGGACCTTGAACCTTGAACCCTAGATCCGGCAGAGTCAAAGAGCCTACTTGGAGGTTCAGGGGTTGTTATAGGGGTTCCTTTAAGGGTCCGTTTAAAGAGATCTACAGGGATTCTATATAAGGGTATAGGGTTTAGGGTTCAGGGGTAGTTATAAGTAGGGTTCCTTTAAAGGGATCTATAGGGTTATAGGGTTTAGGGATTAGGGTTTAGGGTAGTTATAAGTAGGGTTATAAGTTTCCTAATATGGTTAAAAGTATGGTTACCCTACTTATAACCCTACTCATAACTACCCATGAACCTCCAAGTATTAGTGACAAGCGCAGCGTGTTGAGGAGAATCCACGTTGATGTTGCGAGACCACTGAGTCTCTGGCGTTCGCCAGTCGTGAGCTGCAAGTAGTTCCTGAGGGCCGTGTTTAATGCTTGGGGTCATGGTCTACCTATAGTCTCCAATGTAGTTCCTTTTTTTGGTTAACCAGTTTTATGGTTAGGACCTTATAATGGCGGGCTTCCTGCGTCCCCTTTTCCCTAAGAGTCCATGTACTCATATAGCATATACATTGGCCTTAAAGTACTCCCTATATAGGTACATTGGCCCCAAAGTATATGCTATATGGGTACATGGACCCTTAGGGCTTGGGGTCATGGTCTAGAGACTTTCGGGCTTATAAGCTTTGGCATATTGTAGCAAAAACGCGAGCTTCACCATCTACATTAGGCATACGTGATGGCTATGCCTGCAGAGAAGTGTCTCGGATGGTCAAAGCTTTCGCGTCGCAGGCGTTATTGATGGCCAGTTGAAGTTTCGGATGCAAAACGTAGGGTTGGTTTTGGGACTACGGCCGTTTGGTTTAATTACATCTCAGGACAGAGGCTGGCACGGGGACAGCCCTTCAAGTAGGGATTCCGTCGTGCCTCATGGGGCTGCTTGTTGTCAACCGCATTCATTCGAGCAAGGAACCCACAATATCTACAACAGCAACTATAGATGTGTTGTCGGTTACAGTCGATGCAGAAGAGAGCTTTTCTGCATCTGGACCACTGGACGGTGACCACCATGGGTGCGCAGTATGGCTTTTTGTTTCGGCACTGCATGGCTGGACAGGTCGTCATGTGTGTGAAGCTTGTCGTTTGCACCTAAACTCGAACCCCTGAAACCCTAGATTCCAAACTCGAAACCCTAAACCGCCTGTTCAGCAGAGTGCCGCCTCCAGGCCCAACGCCCAGTGCGGAATTCGAACCGTCGGAGAATAGGCTACATATGCAGCAGTCTGAAGAGCAGTTGGAATTATTTTGTGAGAGCGTCGGGCATCTCGTTTGGCCTTTGCGAAAAGCGAGCTTCGTGTCCGGTTCCACAAAGTTCAATTATCGGCTCGCTTGAATTACTCCCAATTTCGGGCTAGGCGCCAGGTTTCAATGTCCGATTTCCCAGGTAGAGTACCACGCAGCAAAGCTTCGAATTCAACCTTGCAAATGCTACTTCCAGAAGATCATGTGTTAGCAGTCCCGCAGTCCCTAAACCCTAAGCCCTAAAACCCTGAACCCCAAACCCTGAACCTCAAACCCTAAACCCTAAACCCCAATGTCGGAACCCCTACACCTATACCGTGGTTCAAGGCTTCGACGCTTTAGCTGATTGCAGAGGTTCCGAGCCCTGCAGGTTTGTCATCCGTAAGGTTTGTTTATGGGATGTAGCCTGAGAGAAAGCATTGTACATATACATTATGTGTCCTTTTCAGTAGGGGTTGGGGCTTGAGGCTTGGATCACTGAGAGCTTAGGATTTACGGTTTTGGAGCTCGAAAGTCCTGAAGTGACAGAGTGGCACCAGGCCCGCTTCAACCTACTCCGGCACGACGACAGTGCAGAGGATCCGAATCCAGGCGCCAACGGTGGGTAGCCTGACATGTTCCCTTCGGTGCTTCAGGAAGGCGCTAAGACCCCCTTGAATCCGCGAACGCTCTTCCGTCATAGGTGGACATGTCCAGTCCTGCGTTTGGAGGACCATACTTGAATTAAGGAACCATTATGAAATAAAAGTCTATACTTTTTTCTCCCTGGTTACTTCAAAGTCCAGTAGTATTCCATTGACGATGCAAAGAAGCCCCTGCATCTCGGGGTATGGTTGATGATATAAGCCCTGCATTACCCCCAATAAGGTATATACCATAATTCCCATACTTTAGGGTCCTTAAGGTAATGCAGGATTTATCTCATCAACCTAAACCCTAAACCCTAAAACCCTATAGATCCCTTAAAGGAGCCCCTTATAGATCCCTTTAAAGGAACCCTATCATCCACCGTACTGGTAGCAGCATGGAGCCGGGGCTTCTTTGGATTTAGATCATCAGCCGGTATCACCCGAAACCACGAGCCGATTGGGATCCCAGAGACTCCAATATCCCTTAATTAACTAGGACCCAGAGTAAGCCCTTATTCCCTTTTTAAGGTGTAGGTTCCGTTATAGCACCCTGTAATGAAATCATAAGGCCTCCACTAAATGGTATAACAGTACCCTGAGGCCCCAAAGTAGGACCTGTTTGGGGTTCATATTTCGAAACCTTTGGGCTTAGGGCGTAAGGGTTGAAGGTCAGGGTTTAGTAATTAGGGTTCAGGGTCCCGGTTCAGGTTTTGGAGTTTAGGGCTGAGGAGTCGCAGCAGGCCAGTTGCAAAAGGGCTGAGGGTATAGGGCTTAGGGTTTGGAGTTTAGGGTTCAGAGTTTAAGGTTTGTAATGTGGGAACCTGATTAAGAAACCTTGGGCGTCCGTTAGGGTTCCTTATTTGAGTCCTAGTATTCGGGGGGTTATATGGGGGATTAGACCCGCAATCATGGTATCAATGGAACCGGTACATGGATGAAGGTAGGTGGGGCCATCCCGAAAAAGACTCCTCACTGTCAGGGCCTTCATACTTAGACTCGGGGTTTGGGGCACTATGCTATACTCTCTGTGTGTGTGTGTACAAAGAAGCGCTTAAACAACTAGTGCTGTAAACCCTAAGCTGAAGAATTTCAAAACATGGTCCTAGACCGTCCTGATCATGAACGAAAACCCTGTACGTTCACAACCTCTGAACACCTACAACCGGTTAGCTGAAACACAAAAACCCGAAACCGTAAACCGTAAATTGCACCATCCCTCACGCAAACGCAAGAACCATTAAGCTCTCTAAAGTAGTGTCTCTTCCTAAGTCCCGAAACTACACCCTTTCAGGCAGGACCCCAAAAGGGGACCCCAAATATAAAGAACTACCCATAGAGCATCCTGTGTATGGTAACCCCTAAACCCTAAACCCATCCTAAAAATGACCCTAATGTAGGACCCTGATTAAGCAACCCTGGGCCTGCTACCCTGAATCCTAAAATGATGGTACTACTAGCTAACTAACTATTCACGGAACCCTCTTTATATATTATATATATATATATATGTAT